CAGTTTCATCTTTAAAGATTAAAAAAATGAACAAATTAAGTTAATTTGGATATGCAGAAGCTATTGAAAATAAATTTAAAGAACTAAAGAAAGAGCGGGAAGGAAGTTGAATTTTGAAATGTCAAAACGATTGTAAAATCAGTGAAATGTATAAATCTGAAAAGTATAAATACATTTTTTTAAGGATAGTAGCAGAGCCACAATGTGAACAGCCCTTTTGAAGATGTCTGGGGAGAGGACTGAATTTTGTGCCTGATTTTTATACAAGTTCATGCCCACAGCTGAGATGGGCCACCAGTATGTTTTGTTGTTCTGATACACTCCGTCATGATGTGGTCGCTCAGCTTTTCACTACACTTAAAGGGGAGGAAATAATTATGTGGTTTTACCCTCCCGCTCCTGCCAACCTAGTAATTCGAAAGCATGTCAATGTACAGGGATGTGGGTGACGCTGTGGGTTAAACCACAGAGCCTAGGACTTGCCGATCAGAAGGTCGGCGGTTCGAATCCCCGTGACGGGGTGAGCTCCCGTTGCTCGATCCCTGCTCCTGCCAACCTAGCAGTTCAAAACCACGACAAAGTGCAAGTAGATAAATAGGTACCGCTCCGGTGGGAAGGTAAACGGCATTTCCATGCACTGCTCTGGTTTGCCAGAATCGGCTTAGTCATGCTGGCCACGACTGGACCTAATGGTCAGGGATCCCTTTACCTTTACCCTCCTTCTCAGAAATGCATGTGACCATATGTGTGGAAATGTGACGTGATGAACTGCAAGGCAGCTGTAGGATGGGAAGTGTGGGAGAAGCCTTAGGAAGCTTCCTAGCTCTGTACTGCCAGCACTGACTTTCAGCAGCTCTCAAGGCCTTCAGAAGGCATATCATCCCCCCCCCAACCTGGGGATGTTGGGGGCTGAACCTCTTGCATACTGTTCCCTCCTGGGCTGCTTCTTCCAAAGTCTGTACCTACACAAGAAGTGAAGAACCTGCAGCATTCCAGATGTTGTTAGACGATGACAACGACTACTATTAGTACTATTCTGTGGTTGAAGCAGGCTTAGGCTCAGGTCTTGTCCTACTAAGACTGCAAGTGTTTCTTCCATCGCCCTCTCAAGATTTAGAGGCTTCAGGTTAAAGACAAGGCCAGGGATGGCTAGAACAGCATGTTTCTGTTCCATGCAAGCTTTGGCTGCAATCAATCAAAAGTCTGCCCTGTAGCTTTAAAATTTCAGCTTTAAAAAAAAATGGAAAGGGGAAAAACCCCACACTTCAGTTGTACACATTTTTGTACCCACTTTCTCCTAAAATATACCGTATTTTTTTGCTCTATAAGACTCACTTTTTCCCTCCTAAAAAGTAAGGGGAAATGTGTGTGCGTCTTATGGAGTGAATGCAGGCTGCGCAGCTATCCCAGAAGCCAGAACAGCAAGAGGGATCGCTGCGCAACGAAAGCCAGCTGTTCTGGCTTCTGGGATTCAGAATATTTTTTTCTTGTTTTCCTCCTCCAAAAACTAGGTGCGTCTTGTGGTCTGGTGTGCCTTATAGAGCGAAAAATGCGGTACATTTCTATGCACTTCAACACATATTTTTGTATTTTTGAACTGAATGTGCATTGCAAAATTCAGAGCAGGACACAGTTTAATTGTTAAGTGCGTTCCGATCCACATGCAAGTCCAGGGACCTGTTTTCTGCCTTACAAACTTTCCCCTCTTTGTTTAACATAGGGAAGGACAAATCTGTTGATTTTAGTTTCTCTCCCTTTCAAAGACCCACTACCATTTCTGCAGAAGGGTTCCAGAATGGTCCCTGGCTCCAGCACCCAAGAGCCACCTGGTCAGCACAAATGGAGAGCTTTGAAGCCACGAAGAGGGAGTCTTTGCACCCTTTGTGTGGATTGAACCAGAGTGAAAGGAAGTGAGTCAGCCACTGAGAATTGGCTCCTGGGGTCATTCTGGAGAAGGAGCACAGGAAGAACACCAAGGAGCTGTTGTTGTGTATGCTCCAAAGGTCAGCATTTAGGAACACTGAAAACGAGATGTTTCAGCTCCTAGTGGATGGTGCGCAAGTTCTGTTATGTACAGTGGAACATCAGTGGAAATGCAACTTAATTTACTCAAAAGAAGAAGATGGTACAGGAGCACTCCAAAGCATTTGTGCATTTATGTGCAGAGAAAATAGTAGATCTAGTCAAAGAGCGATGCATGGCAGTCTGCACTGATCATTGCATTACATCCCAAACAATAAGTATTATTGTATAATTATAAGATCATTGTAGGTTGTATAACCTGGGGGGGGGGCTAATTGGGTTGTTGTTTTTACTTTTATTATGTATTTTGTGGTTTTATGTCTTGATTTTATTCTGGGAACTGCCCTGAGACACCCAGGTATAGGGCTGTATATAAATTTTAATAATAATAATAATAATAATAATAATAATAATAATAATAATAATAATAATAATAGAAGCATGGCTGCCATTATCTGCATTTCTGAATTTGCCATTACACTACTGGTACCCACCCTCAGTTGAAAGGACTGGAAGAGCTGGCGTGGAACAACGTTGTCACAGAGTCTTTGATGTGCCATATTATTCACAATGCAAAAGGCACTCTGGTACTAGTCCTCACCCTTACCTTGGGAGCAGAAACAAGTCATGGGTGCCTGCAATGCAGAAATAAATTTTAAAAACAAAAACTTAGATAACATCATATCAGATAAACATTTACAGTTAAAACTCTGTGGTTTCCTTGGCGCGAAGCTACAGATATATATGGCTCCCAAGAGATTTGATTCCCTGATATCATTGCAGCAAATCAGATTTGCATCTAGACCTTCATGGTGTTGAGAAACACATAAGCAGTCATTTCCCTGCCAGCAGCAACCGAAAGCCATAGAAATTTGTGGGTTGTTGTCATAAATCACAGGGACAAAAGGACTCTAGGCAGCAGAATCTGGACTGTCCCTTGCTACTTCCTCAAGCATCACCAGGAGAACTTTCAGACAAAGGTAGTCATTGGCTCAGTGAAGTGTTTCTCAAACATGAGTCTCCATCATCCCTGACCACTGGTCCTGATACCTATAGACGATGGGCGTTGTAGTCGAAAAACAGCTGGAGACCCAAGTTTGAGACCCAGTCTCTCTGCTGTGCTGCAAATGCAACCCTCACCAGGCCCACAAAGGCGACATTGCCCATGTGAAGACCACCTGGTGGAAACCCTCACACATATGGTTCTTAATTGTAAACTATATGCTGATCTCCTTCAGCAATTTCTAGATCAACTCTGCATCCCCAAATGGAAACCAGAGTTGGAGGTCATACATTTTCTATTACTGGGGAATGATCAGGAGCTCACCAAGTTAGTGGCTAAATATTTCTATTTGGTTTTTTGTTGTCGAAATACACTGCAGACGTCTGATCTCCCTGGAGACCTAGAGATGTGACGATAGACGGCTCTACCTCCTTTCTTTTAGCAAATATTTTGTGCCACTGGGGAAGTGGTAATTCTGTATTGGTTTGTTTCGGATCTTTGTATGTGATGCCAATAAAAGGTTTGATGATGATGACAAATGTGACAGCTGCCCATCAATGTAGCTGCACCAGTCAAGCTAAGGAACACTAAGTCGCTCTGGCATGCACCCGACTCCCATGCGTGCCCCATGCCCATGGCGCAATGCGCCTGCCCACTCCAGGTGCTGGCAGGGTTCCCTACACCGCTTCTGGGGGCCCAGGGAGGTGGTCAGACCAGGGAGGTGACCTGGGCAGCTCCTAGGGCTGCTGATCCATGCCTGCCTGGTCCACCTCAAACCCCGAGCCTGACACTTACCCACAAACAAGATGAAGGAGAGTAAAATTACAGAGTTGTATCCAACTAAGGGGATGCAGGTGGTGCTGTAGGTTAAACCACAGAGCCTAGGGCTTGCTGATCAGAAGGTCGGCGGTACGAATCCCTGTGGCGGGGAGAGCTCCCGTTGCTCGGTCCCTGCTCCTGCCAACTTAGCAGTTCGAAAGCACACCAGTGCAAGTAGATAAATAGGTACCGCTCCAGTGGGAAGGTAAATGGCATTTCCGTGTGCTGCTCTGGTTCGCCAGAAGCGGCTTAGTCATGCTGGCCACATGACCCGGAAGCTGTATGCCGGTTCCTCGGCCAATAAAGTGAGATGAGCGCCGCAACCCCAGAGTCGGTCACGACTGAACCTAATGGTCAGGGGTCCCTTTACCTTTACCTTTATCCAACTAACACCTACTCAGAGCAAATCCACTGAAACTAATAGGCCTAAGTTAGTAGCGTCCGTCAATTTTAATAGATCTACCCAGAGTATGAAATGGTTTGGATACAACCCATTATTTTAGCTTCGGGCAGCAAAATAGTTTGAAACAGCACTGGGCAGCAAATGTTGGTGTGGTGTTGAGACCAGAAAATAAGAGACACAACAAAACACGTAAGTCAATACCTTCTGTGGGCTCAGTTCTTGTTACTGGACCTCTAGTTTATTGTGTGAGCAGGAACTACTGAAACATAAGTCAACTTTCCTGAGGCGATGAATGAGTCCTGGTGGTGTCTTTGGCCAGGTTCTCTCATGGACGTGGACGGGATTGGAGGAGCAGCCAAAGTTGTTGAGCTTTTCACAGGTAAAAATAAATAGGACATTGTCGGGAGCAGGTTTCTGCTGGGGACGGGACACAACTCCCCAGATTATTGAGTACTTTCATTTTTTTCAATAATATTTTCAATAAAATATGCCCCCTCTTGGCTATGCCCTCGGGCTCTCTGTAAATATTTTCATGTTATCTACTGTGGGGCTCGGCTCGGAATATAGGTGTGCCAAAAACCAACAACCCTGGAATGTGATGACGCTTAAAGAGGAGACCTGAAACGCGAGCCGATTGGGTTTCCGCTCTTGGCTTTGCGAGGAAGAAGTGTCTCATTTCCAGGCATAAAAATTGCAGGATGTTTGTAACTGTTCCACTTTGGCGGCCTGCATAAAGAGGCGAGCCCCAGTCTCTGCTCGAGCAAACGACAAGGCTTTGGACATCGTTCGAGGTGCCCTTGACCACTGTCCGCGGCTGCCCTATGGCAAAGTGATGCTGGCAGGGTCAAAGGGCATCAGCAAAGCAAGTGAAGCCCGAGGACGCAGGACAGGAAGAGCAGAATGATGGCAGATCAGAAGTGAAGTGAGTCACTCATCTCCTCGGCCGCATTTTTTTCCCTTTCCCCTGCAGCCACGAAAGAAGTGAGGCAATGAAAAGCTTCAATAGGCAGGAAAGTCCCCGCCCAGGAAATCTAACATTACATCCCCTCTTCTGAAAAGTTTTGCTTTAGCAGAGGCTGCCGGGGAGTGGACCCGTCTTGGTGAGTGGATGCAAACCTCTTCTCCTGCGCCGTGCAGATGTTTAAAACTTAAGCTAGGGCTGGAAGGCTGCTTGTGCCGGGGTGGCTGTGGAAAACATTAGGCTTGCAGGCAAAGATATTTGCAAACAGCCCGGCTGAATTTGCACAAGCAGTTCCTGGCCGCTTTGTTCTGTCTCTCAACACCTTGCACATCCCTCCGCAAGAATCCTGGGAACAGTTGCTTGTCAAGCATTCTTGGAATTGTACCTCTGGGGGGAGTAAACTACAGTTCCCAGGATTCATTGCAGGGGGTGTACTTTAAATGTTTGGTGCGTCCAACGCCTCCCTCCTTCAGCAAATCTCCAGTCAATATTCTGAGGGGAAAGGGGTGTGTGTGTGTGTCTAGGGTGGGGCAAATGAATTCACAAGCCACTCTGCAACTCCTTCCAGTTGTAGCCAATCATTCCTCCCTCCTTTAAGCTTTCTAAAAAAGAGTAGCTAATGGGACCATCACAAAAAAAGGGGCTGCCCACCCCTGTCATTTCTCTGCCCCTGGTAATTCGAGTACTAGCATAACCTCCATCTGTATTTCCATTTTTGTGGCTGGCTGATTCATCACAGCTTCCCCGTTTTCAGAAAAGATCGAAACAAGTGGGGACCTGCAACAATTTGCAGTATATCCCCAGTTCCAAGCAGTAGCTTGGAACAAGAGGAGCCTCTTAGCCCATTGCAGATGGGATCAAGTGGGACCAGTTTTCTTCGTTCCTATTCCTTGAGGCCTTTCCCGGCCGCATTAAAAGGATCAGGTAGGAGACGAAGAGAAAGAGTTTTGCCCTAATGTGCCAGCCTCCAGAGACCCTTCCCCTATTAGGTGTGAAGAGGATCTTTGCCTGAATACAATGCGCAGAGCATGAGATCTGCCCCTGATCTAGGCGTCTGTTCCAGCTGAGAGCTTTCTTGCTTTAAAATAAGTAAGTAAGTAAGTAAGTAAGTAAGTAAGTAAGTAAGTAAGTAAATGGGGAAGTTAGCCTCAACTGGCCCAACTGCCCTTCCCCATTGCAACAGATTGGCATTCCACACACACACACACACACACACACACACACACACACACAGCCATCAGAAGCTATCAATGTGGCAATGGGTGGCATGTGACTTAAGCATACTTTTCTGAGCTTAAAGCGCATTACGAAACCCAAGGCTGGCTGCTTGAGTCATTTCCATGCCCCTGGGACATGATCAGCCACAGCTGGCTGCTAACTTTGCAAATAAATTGCTTCAGCAGGCTGAAAGGCAGTACTTAAACAAGGACTTAGGAAGATGAGCCCTGCTGAATTAGATCAAGGTCTTTTTGGCCCGGAGTCTTGCCTTCCACGGAAACCAGTCAAATGCTTCAAGGAAATTCTAAGGGTAGCATGAAGATCATCCCCCCCCCAATAGAGTGCAAAAATGCTCCCCTTGACCTTGACCTTTAGCCATTGTAGCCAGTGATCACAAACAAACCTGGCCACTGTCATCCACCTCCAGGCTAGACTACTGCAGTGCACCCTATGTGGGGCTGCCCCTTAGGTTGACCCAGAAGCTGCACCTAGTGCAAAATTGCGTGTTCTGACTGCTCATTGGGGCAGAATATTGCAGCACTGCTGAAAGCACGCTGGTGGCCAATTTCTTGCTGGGCTAAGTTCAAGGTGCTAATTCTGGTACCCAAAGCCTTATACAGCTCAGAAGCAGGATTCCTAAAATGCCATCCCCTGTGTACCCAACTGATCACTGTTCTCTGCAGGAGAGAAGGACACCTCAGATACCATCATATCAGGAAGCCTGTTCTGTATGATATAGTTATGGGACCTTTTAGTGTGGTGAAACCCACCCTTCAGAACTCCCTCTTATTATATCTCAGACAGGGCCATATTTGTCTTTTTGGTGCGTTTTGGACCTACCTTTTCCAACCAGTGGAGATTTATTATCCTAGCTTTTTTCTTCATCGGGCGAGGAACTGTATTTATATACAGTATATGTTTTTATTGTTGATGGGGGTTTTTTTGATTGTTGAATCGCTTTGGGATGTTTCATGGGAAGCGATTCATGAATGAATGATGAATTAATTAATTGAAGTAAACCAATACTCCTGGAAGTTGTCTAATCCCCATCAGAAAGTCCTTTGAACCAGTGGCCCTCGCTACTTTCCGTAAGTTTATTTGCCAGCAATGTCTCTATATTAGTGGCCAGGTATTCCATGCTGCACAGAATATTTACATAACGGAGGAAGGAAGGAAGATCAAGAAAGAGACTCGACCAAGGATGGGGAACCTGGGATGTTCCAGTTGTATCATCAGCATCAATTGGATTTCTTACCAGGTCTTCACTATTAGGTCCCAATTACAATAATATAAAGCTACAATATTGTAACAAACAGTATTGTATATGGGACGTGGGTGGCGCTGTGGGTTAAACCACAGAGCCTAGGACTTGCCAATCAGAAGGTCGGCGGTTCGAATCCCCGCAACGGGGTGAGCTCCTGTTGCTCGGTCCCAGCTCCTGCCAACCTAGCAGTTCGAAAGCACATCAAAGTGCAAGTAGATAAATAGGTACCGCTCCAGCGGGAAGGTAAACGGTGTTTCCGTGCGCTGCTCTGGTTCGCCAGAAGCGTCTTAGTCATGCTGGCCGCATGACCTGGAAGCTGTACGCCGACTCCCTCGGCCAATAAAGCGAGATGAGCGCCGCAACCCCAGAGTCGGTCACGACTGGACCTCATGGTCAGGGGTCCCTTTACCTTTACCTTTATATATATATAATATTAGTTAGGGACGTGGGTGGCGCTGTGGTCTAAACCACAGAGCCCTAGGGCTTGCCGATCAGAAGGTCAGCGATTGAAATCCCCGTGATGGGGTGAGCTCCCGTTGCTCGGTCCCTGCTCCTGCCAACCTAGCAGTTCAAAAGCACGTCAAAGTGCAAGTAGATAAATAGGTACTGCTCCAGCGGGAAGGTAAACAGCGTTTCCGTGCACTGCTTTGGTTTGCCAGAAGCAGCTTAGTCATGCTGGCCACATGACCCGGAAGCTGTAGGCCGGCTCCCTCGGCCAATAAAGCAAGATGAGCGCCACAACCCCTGAGTCGTCCGTGACTGGACCTAATGGTCAGGGGTCCCTTTACCTTTACCTATAATATCAGTTGAAGCAATTTGCCACCAGTTTACACTCACACATACTGTATCTGTTAGGTGTCAAAGGCCAGTGCGAGAGCTGTATCTCCAGAAATTGACAAAGGCTGTATAGTGAAGGTACCAGACACAACTATGTAGATAGGGAATTCCACAGCTAAGGGGCTGCCACAAGGAAGGCCCTGCCACAAGGAAGGCCATCCCTGAGCTTTCAAGGGCAAATGAACTATGAGAAGGTACCCCCTGCTGATCTTAACATGCAAGAGGGAATGTAGGTAAGGAGTGGGGTTTTCCTCCCCCCAAAATATTTGATACACATTGTCATCTCAAGTGCACCCAAAGAGACATGTGGTCCAAAATCAAAAATTGCTTAACCGCACCACTGATTCAACAGTTAACCTTCAATGTTCTCCTTGCCAAGCATACAAGACTCACTGAGCTATGTCCCCTCTGTCTCATTCAGGGTGATAGCAATCTGTGGGTGGACTGCTCTGTTCCAAGCGTGATAACCTGAAATTTTTCTTTCTCAGCAGATCCCGGAACCATGTACACAGCAATCCCCAAAAGGTAATGAACTTTTTTCACTCCCCATCCAACAGCATGTTCCAGACAGGCTCCCTTTAACTGTGTTTTATTTAATGTAAAATCGGCTAGTTTAAACGCCTTTTAAAAAAAATTAATAATAATAATATTAAAAAGCTTGTTTACTATGTAGGGCACTCCCAGACTGTTGCTGTTTTCGGGTGGGATGGAATCACGAACCGGGTAAATTTAAGTCGCACAATTATAATTGGTTGGGAGGTCTTGCGCAACAAACCCACTCCTCCGAAATACTGGACTTTTTGCAATAAGGAAAGTGATGTGGAAATGCCCTGGGAAGTGTGGAATGTTTGACACAGCGTCATCTAACCTCCCTGCAAACAAATCAGAATAAATACTAATCAAATCTTCCTGCAGACAGATTGGGATGAATGTTCAATAAACAGGTCGTCAGGAAGCACTCATAGTTTGTTCCTCAGTGGAAGGTTCCCCAGTTTGAGGTTCAGAAGGTAATTGGCTCTATTACCACTGTGCTACCATTTTGCATCTCACTCCAGCTCATGGACCTTGAGGTGTTAATTACACAAAGTGGATCCCAACATGCATCATGTAAACAGTCTGGTTTCCCTCTTTCCTCCCTCATCCTCTCTCCTCACCTGGATTCACCCTGTATCTCAAGGGCAGAGAAATGGTGCTTCTCCAGACCTGTGATTCAGCTACATTAGTAAAGAAAAAGCGTTTTAAATGCTTTCTAACACTGTGACACCTGATGGCGCTGTGGAGTTCTGTCTTTCTCCAACCTGATTTCCCATTAGGAGGTTTTCCTGAAACGTTTTTTGGGGTTCTTTTATGTGTCTTGATCCAGCCATGGTTTGACTCCAGCTCTCATCTGGTATCAGAGTTACTTGAACAATGCAGACGGAGTCCAGAGAGAAAAGAAACTGATAATACTTTATTGGGTAAACAACCAAAAAGCAGTAAATAAGATGGGAAGAAATAAACAGAGATTTCTTGCCTTATTTACAGGCCTTGTTCAGAGTAGGGCTAGACATTCCTCAGCACATACTCCCTCAGAACTACACAGACAGAGCACAAATGACCTCAGCAAGGATCATGCCATTCTGACTAGTTGCACGGCAACATTTCCTCCATCACCCCCTGGTCGGCTGACTGTCAACAAAATTATTTTTCCCCCAATTTTTTTTTATTCATTTTATAACACAAATAAACATCACAAACAGAAAAACAAACAATACAAACAAATTCTTGTCTTATCCTTATTTTTTCTAAACATTGTTAGCTGGGCTTCCCCAAGCCCCCACTATGTGATTTTAATTTTACCTCATCTTTAGCAGTTTACATATATCATAATTTCTATCCATTTTTTTTATCACGCTTACTTTAACCATAAAAATCTTCACATTTTATCACTTACAAATAATACACTATCTTCTACTTCTAACCCTACAGCCTATATCCACTTCCAACGCTATTCTAAGATTTAAATATTAACATTTTTTTTCAAATATTCCTTAGATTTCTTTCAATCTTCTTCCACCGTCTCTTCTCTCCGGTCTCGGTGTCTCCCAGTCAGTTCGGCAAGTTCCATATAGTCCATCATCTTCATCTGCCAGACTGTCAACAGAATTAACCCTTAAGTGACAAACTGAATAATCTCTGCTCTTCTACTTCCAACATCATTTGTCCCAGCTATCATGGTCAATGAATAAGAATGATGGGTAGCTGTAGTCCAACAACATCTGGAGGAGCACAGGTTCCCCAAAGCTGATCCATCCCTTTTCATCTGTCCTCTTTGAAGTCTCTCTTCCTTTTCGCTTCTCCTTCTCTACTTGCATCTTACTGCCTGTTCCTTTGGTCTCATCCTATCCTATTCTGTCTTGCAATCCATTGTTTTCTTCCTTTTTTGCATGGCAGTGGCTCGCCCTTCGATGCTTCGGTAAAGGAGCCGGGCCTCCATATCTGGCGAGTGGAGAAGATGAAGCCTGTGTCGGTACCAGAAGAGATGAAAGGCATCTTCTATTCTGGGGATTCTTACCTGGTTCTTCACAATGGACCTGATGAGCAATCCAGTGTGCACATCTGGATTGGTAAGCAGCAAGGCTTGGCAGAGATGAGACGAATTATCCATATGCAGAACACATCTGTGGGCTGATTCAGTAGGAAAGCAGCCTCCATCCGCACTTTCTCTTCAGCCAAATATTAAAACATGAGGAAGTGACATACATCAGCAGGGTATGAAAAAAGTGATCTTATAGGGTTGCCATATTTCAAGATCGCCCAAAAAGTTGCTGAGCTGTTTTTTGTTGTTTTTTTGTTTTGTTTTTGGCAACACTAGAGCTTAAGACACTTTGACATGTGTGACACAGGTTGTACCTATTGGAGTTTAGGGAAAACTCTCTTCCATGTTATTATTATTATTATTATTGGGCAGTGTCCAACCAACATGTCCTGTCGGCACAAGGATTTATGCTTGTGTAACAGGACTTTTTCCTCCTCTCCCTGTGTGTACCCCAACTTCTTCTTAGTTCTCAATGAGCTGTTGCCTCCCCCTTGGGATTTTTCAAATGCTCCTTATGAACTTCTGCAGTCCTGAAGGTTTCTCTGAGCATGCTCATGCTACCCTCTTGTTTTCCAGTGGCCCTATTTTGGTCTCATTTCTGTCAGTGCTCAACACCCAAGTTTGCTATTTGAGGGAGTGGTATACACGGGAATTATCCTGGGAATATCCATCAGAAGTGGAGCTGGAACGATGCCTATCAAATAACTGCTCTCTCCCTGTCACCCAGGCCAGAACTCCTCCCGAGACGAGCAGGGAGCCTGTGCTCTGCTCTCCACCAACCTCAACTTCTTCCTGAAAGAAAAACCTATCCAGTACCGGGAGGTGCAGGGCAATGAGTCCGACATTTTCATGGAGTACTTCCCCCACGGCATCAAATACCAGGTAAGGCAGGCCCGACCGAACCAGTTTTTTCAGGTTGCTGCTTCGATCACCTTCCAATTGTGAGCACAGTCACCTTATGAAAGAAAGCTTTGGCAACAAATCACAAGCTCATTTGTTCCACATTTATCTGCCCGGGCCGGATAAATATGCATATGAGAAGCAGTAATTCAGTCTAACCTAGCTCCTGGGGATGTGGTAAGGATGAAATCATAGAATAGAATAGAATCATAGAATCATAGAGTTGGAAGAGACCACAAGGGCCATCGAGTCCAACCCCCTGCCAAGCAGGAAACACCATCAGAGCACTCCTGACATATGGTTGTCAAGCCTCTGCTTAAAGACCTCCAAAGAAGGAGACTCCACCACACTCCTTGGCAGCAAATTCCACTGTCGAACAGCTCTTACTGTCAGGAAGTTCTTCCTAATGTTTAGGTGGAATCTTCTTTCTTGTAGTTTGGATCCATTGCTCCGTGTCTGCTTCTCTGGAGCAGCAGAAAACAACCTTTCTCCCTCCTCTATGTGACATCCTTTTATATATTTGTACATGGCTATCATATCACCCCGTAACCTCCTCTTCTCCAGGCTAAACATGCCCAGCTCCCTTAGCCGTTCCTCATGAGGCATCGTTTCCAGGCCTTTGACCATTTTGGTTGCCCTCCTCTGGACACGTTCGAGTTTGTCAGTGTCCTTCTTGAACTGTGGTGCCCAGAACTGGACACAGTACTCCAGGTGAGGTCTGACCAGAGCAGAATACAGTGGCACTATTACTTCCCTTGATCTAGATGCTATACTCCTATTGATGAGGCCCAGAATTGCATTGGCTTTTTTAGCTGCCGCGTCACATTGTTGGCTCATGTCAAGTTTGTGGTCAACCAAGACTCCTAGATCCTTTTCACATGTACTGCTCTCAAGCCAGGTGTCCCCCATCTTGTATTTGTGCCTCTCATTTTTTTTGCCCAAGTGCAATACTTTACATTTCTCCCTGTTAAAATTCATCTTGTTTGTTTGTGGAGGAGGGCAAGAAGCCCGCATCTGCCACCTTGACATCTTTGGAGGGCAGGCCAGCCATAAAGATGCTCAAGACCATGAGTAGGCAAACTAAGGCCCAGGGGCCGGATCCGGCCCAGTTGCCTCCTCAGTCTGGCCTGTGGATGGTCCAGGAATCAGTTTGTTTTTACATGAGTAGAATGTGTCCTTTTATTTAAAATGCATCTCTGGGTTATCTGTGGGGCATAGGAATTCATTCCCCCCCCCCCAAAAAAAATATAGTCTGGCCCACCACATGGTCTGAGGGATGGTGGTCTGGCCACCTGCTGAAAAAGTTTGCTGACCCCTGCTCAAGAGAAACAGAAAAGTTGGGGTGTGCACAGTGTTTTTCTTCTAGGGGGAAAAAGGTGCTAGTACTGCATAGCCTTGAGTGCCCCCGGGGGGGAGCACTGGGTGTGCAAGATCAAAATAAGTAAATAACGAATTTCACAAACACTGCACAAACTCATATGGCAAAGCTTACAATCACAAACCTTAAAAGCAAGCAGCTTCTTGTGTCTTTACAGCAGCCTTTTGCCACCCTGGCACCATCCAGATGTTTCAGACTACAACTCCCTACACTGGCTGGGGCTGACAGGAGTTGTAGTCCTGTTATGTACTGAGTTGAATAGGATCCAAAAGGCAGCAGTCTGATTGGTCCTAGAACAATGCAGCAGTATGATTGGTCCGCAGGAGCCACCCAATCCAGCTCCAGGTAGAAGTGAATCCGCAACCTGATTGGCCTACAGGAGAATCCCAGAATTAGCCAATCACTAATTTACAATTTACCATTTTACCAATTTACTAATTTACCATTGTGTAAATAATGTATATAAAGCAGATATTTTGGGGAAACATTCATTCCTCACTACTATGAGCTGAATAAAGAACATGAAATCCACACTCGACTCAGAGCATATTTCAAGTCCAAACACCTGGAGGGGTCCAAGAGGGCAAAGGCTGCTCTCGAGCAATGTTTCCCAACCTTGGGTCTACAGCTGTTTTTTCAGACTACAATTCCCATCGTCCCTGACTACCGGTCTTGCTAGCTAGGGATGATGGGAGTTGTAGTCCAAAAACAGCTGAAGACCCAGCATTGGGAAACACTTCTCTAGAAGAAATGACAAAGAACCAATGCATTTTGACCAGGAACTGGTCTTCTTCTGTGGTCTAGTAATATCACAAAAACCACAACGTACAAAACTATGGAAAGCAGTACCCTTATTCTAGCCAAATCTGCCAAATGCAGGGCAGATGGAATAGGGTAACAGCAGTGCCACCTGTAAACGACTCAGAAATTGCCTCTTTAAAAAGGCTAGAATGTGTCATTAGATAATTTGGAATTTAAAAGATATAAAATAGCGTGGTGTAGTGGTTAGAGTGTTGGACCTTGTAGACCAGGGTTTGGATCCCTGCTTGCTCCCTGGGTGACCTCAGGCCAGTCACTGCCTCTTGTGATAAACAAATAAACAGCTTATCTCAAGGAACTTATCCCCTTCACCACCCCAAACTCCAGCACCCTCCTGCTTCCTTGTAGACCTCAAACCTCTTTTGTCTGTGCTCCACAGGAAGGAGGTGTGGAATCTGCCTTTAACAGAACCCAGGCCAGCCAGCAACCCAGTCCTATTCGCAAACTCTACCAGGTGAAGGGGAAAAAGAACATCCGGGCCACTGAAAAAGAACTGAGCTGGGCTAGTTTTAACACCGGCGACTGCTTCATCCTGGATCTAGGAGAGGTGAGTCTGAAAAGAGGAGGAGGGGAAGCCTCTCTCGACCTGTGTCTCCTATTTATAATTGCTGCCTTGTTTTTAATGTGTGGTTTTGGTGGGGGGTTTTGCATACAGTGGTACCTTGGGTTAATTCGTTCCGGAAGTCGTTCTTAACCTGAAGGGTTCTTAACCCGCAACACACATTCCCTACATGGGCCTCCCGTGGCCCCGGAAGCAGATTACGTTCGTATCCTGGAGCAAAGTTTGCAACCCTGAGCACCTACTATGAATTGATTTTAGAATGAGTTGATTTTAGAATGCATTTCAATTAATTGATTGTGATTTTATGTAAATTGTGTTACTTTTATTGTTGTTAGCCGCTCTGAGCCCGGCTTCGGCTGGGGAGGGCGGGATATAAATAAAATATTATTATTATTATCATTATTATTATTATTAACCCAGTTCATAATCGAAGCGTTCGTAAGTAGGACACTTCATAACCCGAGGTACCACTGTATTTTAATTACAAACGTTTATGTTTTAACATTTTTATGGGGTGTGAGTGTGTGGGTGGGTGTTAAATACGGTTGCTTATCTTTTAATGTTTGCTCCATTTGTTTTTCGCACATAAACCACTATTTTGGCATTTCAGTGGCAAATAAATTAAATAATGTTAAGAGCATAAGAGGAGCCTGCTGGATTAGGCCAAAGGGTCCATCTAGTCCAGCATCCTGTTCTCACACCCAGATGCCCCTGGCAAACCCACAAGGTGGACCGGAGTGTAAGAACAATCTCTCCTCCTGCAGTTTCCAGCAACTGGTTTTCAGAAACATTATTGCCTCCATCATGGACATTGTTGATGGTGCTGTAGGGAAGAGAGGGGGAACATACAAGTTTGGAATATGGGCTAGCATGTTCTGCTAATGCCCTGTGAATAGGGGTGGAAGGAGGCAGCTCTTTGCATCCCAGTTCTGTGTTCATCAATGTCAGCCCTCTTTCCACTGCAATTCAGCCTCCCCTAAGACCTACATTGTTTGTCTAGCTATTTGCTATACAGTGGTACCTCGGGTTACAGACGCTTCAGGTTACAGACTCCGCTAACCCAGAAATAGTACCTCGGGTTAAGAACTTTGCTTCAGGATGAGAACATTAATCGCACGGTGGCGGTAGGAGGCCCCATTAGCTAAAGTGGCACCTCAGGTTAAAAACAGTTTCAGGTTAAGAACGGACCTCAAACTTAACCCGAGGTATCACTGTATCTGAAACTGATGCAATTAATTGCATAATCAATTTGAGTAGAAGGGAAGCATCAAAGACAATGCAGAAAACAATGTATTTATTTATGTTTACAAACTAAGAAAAGAATAGCATATGCTCCTACTCACTTGGGTCATTTTCATTACTGACCCCTGACAAAAATGAGAATTGCAGCAAGTCTCGCTCCTGTTTCCATTTCCAACAGAATTCTCAAACATCCCTAGTTGGGAGAGTGCACAACTACGTACACTGGGCGGAAATAAATGTGCTCCTTTGTGTAGGATCACAGTGGGTGTTCTGGATGTGGGGTGGATGGGGGAAGCACATGGATGAGCTGCATGGGGCAAGTGTTCTGGCCGCACATGGATTGAGAAGGTTTCTCCTCTTGGCCTCTCCTTTCAGAACATCTTCACTTGGTGTGGCAGCAAATCCAACATCCTAGAGCGCAACAAAGCCCGGGATTTAGCAACGGCAATTCGGGATAGCGAGAGGAAGGGGAAAGCCAAAGTGGAGATAATTGCAGATGGCGAAGAGCCGGCTGAGATGATAGCGGTAAGTTCCTTGCAAGAGAGGCAAACGTTTTGGGGAAGCTGTGGGTTGGTTTCTAGGAAGCAGATGGGCATTGACTAAGTTCTCGGCAGCAAGCTGGAGCTGGGACCTGTTTTGGTTTGGTGGGATATAAAAGCCCCTGCCAGAGGAGGGTCTGAGATATGAGCCGTGTTTTAGCTTCTTAATTTCATATTGAAAGGATCGAGGAAGTGATCTCCCGATAGGGCACACAAAACAGGTATTGAGGTACCCTAAGAGTCTATTGAACACCTCATTACTGCAACATCTGGCAATGACTTTCATGTGTGGACATAGGAGATAAGAAGCTGCTTTGTCTGTCCACCCAGCTCAATATTGTCTAATCTGGCTGGTAGCATCTTTCCAACATCTGAAGCAGAGCAGGGTCTTTCTTATTATCTGCTATTTCAGTGGTGGAGAGCTGGTGGCCCTCCAGATATGTTTGATTTACAACTCTCATCATTCCTCCTCATTGGCAATGCTTTGTTAGGGCTGATGGGAGTTGGATCCTTTACAAACAACACCACTAGAGATGCACTGGATTGGACCCAAACCTTCTGTGTGCAAACAATGTTCTCCCCAATTTTAGGAAGTTGCCTTATGCTAGATCAGCCCATTGGTCCATCTAGTTTAGGATCCCACCCCTCCTTCTCTCCTGCTAGGGATTGAACAGAAGACCACCTCTCTGCCACTGCGACTCATCCTTTTGTAATTGTCAAGCAAAGCACAGAGGTGGGGTTCTGAGCCCAGAAATGAAACGTCTGGAAGCTGGGTGTCAGCATTACCTGCCTCTGTCTTTTTCTAGGTCCTGGGTCCTAAACCAGCTCTGAAAGAGGGCAGTCCAGAGGAAGATGTCATGGCTGATCGGAAAAATGCAATTGCCGCTGTGCTTTATAAGGTAACAACCTGTTAGGCAGCTGTCAGCAGCTCCTGGCTAGTTGCCCAGGAAAGTATAAAGACAAGAGAAAGTTTCTTACTGACCTTTTTTATTTAAAACTTTACAGAGAGAGGCTATAGAACCCAGCCTCTTGGATAATGGTGTTGTCCCAAGTGAATCTCCACCCCCCTGTCTCTCCCACTTCCTCATTCGTTATTCTCATCGTCTCTTCTACAGGTGCTACTATGTGTCCTCTGTCTTTGAGCTCTTTGCTCTCCTACTTTTAAGGCTCGCTGGGTTCTGGGAGACGGAGGGTCTGGAATGCTTTCTAATGACAACGTGTCAGTCCGCTGATGCTCTGGCTATCCCATTACTTCCCAGCTGCCATTTTGTATCTACCTCCGCCACCATTCCAGCTGCCATTGGGCACTTGGCTCTGTTTGGTGGATCCTAGGGTTCCAGTAATAAACAAAGTAGGTCCAACCATCTCGAAGTCTTGCCACACATGGATGGTCTCATGTCAACGAAGGCACTTCCTCTTCTTTTCTTCTCATCTCCCAGGTATCGGACATGACGGGGAAAATGAGCCTGACTAAGGTCTCGGAGTCCAGTCCATTCCATCAGGACCAGCTCATCACAGATGATTGTTTCATCCTGGACAACGGGCTATGTGGGAAAATCTACGTTTGGAAAGGTGAGACACACAACGTACTGCTGTAAGAACGGCCTCAACACTTGGTGTTGGGACTCTGTGAGTCGGAAAGGGGTCTCCTAACAATTCTCAACACCCTTAACAAGTGTGTTGACTAGAAGTCTTTGGAGGAAGCCATGATGATTTAATGACAGATGGTTCAGATTTAGGAGGAGGTTTTCTTTCTTCCTAAGAATATTAGTCCCCCCCCATCCTTCCCAGTAAACACCAGCTCTTCTCTGCTTGCTCAGCTTTAGACATGCTCTCTCTCAGCTCTTCTGACCTGCCCTTTCCCATCTTTCCTCGAACAGGCCTCCGAGCAAATGAGCAGGAACAGCAGGCAGCCCTGAAAGTAGCTGAGGACTTCATCACTCAGATGAAGTATCCCCTGAACACACAGGTAAGCAAGCAGAGGCTGTGCAGCCTTATCAAAGTTTCCAGAAGGCTCTACTAAATGAAGGAATTATCCCCAAACTTAGGCAATGAATGGCAATTACTCTGATTCCAGTGCGCTCCCACCACGGGTATTTGAGGCCATGCACACATGACGTTAGCCACAACCCACATCTGTCCTGTAGTTTGTTGAGGAATGCTGCTGCTGGATGCATTTTCCCTCAAACCACCTTCTATCTGATTTGAAAACGAAAGCCGCCGTTAAGCTTGAGGTGTGCACATTTGAGACAGCTTTTGCACATGTGCAAAAGGGACGCGGGTGGCGCTGAGGGTAAAACCACAGAGCCTAGGGCTTGCCGATCGAAAGGTCAGCGGTTCGAATCCCCGTGGCGGGGTGCGCTCCCGCTGCTCGGTCCCAGCGCCTGCCAACCTAGCAGTTCAAAAGCACCCCCGGGTGCAAGTAGATAAATAGGGACTGCTTACTAGCGGGAAGGTAAACGGCGTTCCGTGTGCTGCGCTGGCTCGCCAGATGCAGCTTTGTCACGCTGGCCACGTGACCCGGAAGTGTCTTTGGACAGCGCTGGCCCCTGGCCTATAGAGTGAGATGAGTGCACAACCCTAGAGTCTGTCAAGACTGGCCCGTACGGGCAGGGGTACCTTTACCTTTACTTGCACATGTGCAGGCGACATCTTTGTGAATAGGAGCTGTGGGGGGGTTGCAGATGTGGGGAAACAAAACATGCAATGTGCTTCAGGTGAAGACCCCCCCTTCCCCCCCCCTCTGGTGTGCACAGCAGTGTGCAAATACAACTTGAAATGCAGTGGGGGTAAAATAAATTAGCTGCACTTCAAGCCCTTAGGTTGACCAAATGAGACCTGGGAATGTTGCAATGTGCTTGATCACTGGTGAAGCTGTTAAAAACTTAAGAGCAGCCCTGATGGAACAGACCAAGTGCCCATCTAGCAAGGGAGCCTGGTTCGCACAGTGCCCAGCCACGGGGGCGTAGCTAGCTGCTTCGGCACCTGGAGTGGTGGGGGGCAAGCTGCCCACGGGGGCATCGTGGCCCCCAGTGATCTGCCCAGGCCCCACGCTGCCGTTTTAGGCAGCGCAGGGCTCTGAGCCACTGTGTAACTCCCAGGAGAGACGTGTAGCTCAGGCGCGCTGCAGGCCAGGCCCCACGGTAAGTGCCACCCCCCATGGTGTGCCATTTTGTCACACACACCCTCAAGGATGACACCCGGGGTGGACCGCAGCACCCGCACCCACCTGAGGCTGAGCAAAATCATCTGTAGAGAGAGAGAATGTGTATAGTAAGAGTTTTTTCTCATAATATTAGAGGCTACAGAAGAGCCATTGTGGGAAATATAAATAGTGGCAAGATGCCACAAGTTGGCACTGCTTAGAGCGTTGCAGCTGTCCACTGCAACAAGGTAAGACTGCCAGAGCCAGAGGAGGGAGCCCAGCAGAGGGCAACTTGCCCTGGCCCCCTCAAACCTAGAACAAGCTTGGCCCATTTCTTTGGCATTGCCGGGGAAAAGAGGGGAGGGGTTGGAACAAAGCTAATGCTTGTGTACCATTAAAGGTAAAGGGACCCCTGACCATTAGGTCCAGTCGTGACTGACTCTGGGGTTGCGGCGCTCATCTCGCTTTATTTGCCGAGGGAGCTGGCGTACAGCTGCCGGGTCATGTGGCCAGCATGACTTCCGCTTCTGGCGAACCAGAGCAGCACACGGAAATGCCGTTTACCTTCCCGCCGGAGCGGTACCTATTTATCTACTTGCACTTTGACGTGCTTTCAAACTGCTAGGTTGGCAGGAGCAGGGACCAAGCAACAGGAGCTCACCCTGTCGTGGGGATTCGAACCGTCGACCTTCTGATTGGCAAGTTCTAGGCTCTGTGGTTTAACCCACAGCACCACCCGTGTCCCTATGTGTACCATTACACCAGGGATGTCCAACTTGGTCCCCTCCAGATGTTTCGAACTCCAGCTCCCATCAGCCCCAGCCAGTATGGCCAGTGTTCAGGGATGAAGGAGTGGGAGACCCATAATAGATGGGTGCCTGCCATGGGTGTCCTTTTCTCATGCACCTTTATCTTGTTTCCAGGTGGAAATCTTGCCCCAAGGCCGCGAAAGCCCTCTCTTCAAACAATTTTTCGTAAACTGGAAGTGAAACCGAGTCGACATCGTGAGCTGGAAATATTTGGTGCAAGTGCCTTACATATCCTGTTATCGACCATTATGCCTTATTAAAACAGAGCCACTGTGGCCTAACAGTCTTCTTTGGACTGAAGTTATGTTTTAGCTCATTCACAGCATTCCAGGCACAGAAAAGGGGGAGGGGCTGTTGCTTGGTGGCCGGACACACGCTCTGCATGCAGAACATCCCATGTTTAGTGCCTGGCATCTCTTCTGAAGGAGAAGTTGAAAGACCTCCACTTGCCCAAGACCCTGGAGAGCATCTGCTGGGCAGAGTAAATAATATTGGGCAAGATATGGACCCAATGGTTTGACTCTGCTAGGAATGGAGGGACATTTTATTTCACTTTGCATTTGAGGGTGAACCATTCTAACCCACACTTCCTGAAGCAATGTAGGAACTGAAACATGAAAGTTGCCCTTCTCTGAATTTTGCAACGCAGCTGTCCAGACAAATAATGTGTACAAGAATGTATATATAGTCAGGGGAAGTGTACGAGGACAGCATACAAAATGAATGGCATTGGGGGAAATCGCTTTGCTAAACTGTGCATATTAGGTAAAAAGGCATACAAACATAGCAGAAATTCACACTAATGTCCTGAGGTTGTTTCCCCCCACCCCACCCCCTGCTGCTTTCCAGGAGTCTCAAATGTTTTTTTCATAAAATACCATGAAAACAGGCTTAGATTGTTCCAGAACTGAAATGAACAATAACCAAAAAACCAAACAAACCCCACAACAGCATGATTTGATATTAATTTTAATTACTGCTGATAAATGTCCAAGGCTCTTGGTGCCCATTTTGTGCCTCTGGCAAGGAGGAACCTGGGTTAGGTGCCCCTATTGCCCATCCAATACAGCGGTACCTCGGGCTAAGAACTTAATTCGTTCTGGAGGTCCGTTCTTAACCTGAAACTGTTTTTAACCTGAGGTACCACTTTAGCTCATGGGGCCTCCCGCTGCCACTGTGCCACCGGAGCACGATTTCTGTTCTCATCCTGAAGCAAAGTTCTTAACCCAAGGTACTATTTCTGGGTTAGCGGAGTCTGTAACCTGAAGCGAATGTAACCTGAAGCATCTGTAACCCGAGGTACCACTGTACAAGAAAGGTGAGCAATGGGCAAGCTGGGGGTATCTACAGAGAGCACGTCTCTGTGTGTTTCAGGTGGAGGGGATTGGACACCAGATCTACATCCTCTTAAAAGCGGTTCTTAAAAGTCTCAATTTACAACAGAGTCTGGAACGCCTAGTGACTCGGGTGCTGAATGGCCTTCCCTCCCTTTGGGATTCCTGTTTCAAAAACGGCAAATCCTGCACACACACTCCCCTCGCCCCTCCTCGCCTTAGGCAGCCCTATTCTTTTCAACAGAGTCTCTGTGGTTTTCAGCCTACAATGACGCTTTGTCAGTCAGCCCGGCAGGCCCCGGCAAGCGGTTCTGAATCATTCCACAGCTGAGCTAATGGCCCAACCACAGGAAGAGGCTGCTGACAAGCTGCTCCTTGGAGTGAAAAGTGACTCATGGTTTCCTTTCCAAAAAAACAAATTCTGTCCCTGGTGCCAGTGGCTCACAGTGAAGCGCTTGGGGGCGAAGGCATCATCACAGAAGGAGGCCACCTTTTTGTCTTTTGACATACAAAAAAATTCTGCGAAAGACTAGCTAGGGGTGGTCATCTTCAAGCTCTAAGGGCTCCTCCACACAACCTGGTTTGCTTTCACAAAGCTTCTATAGCCAATCTTTATTGAGTATTTGTTCTGATTTGTTTATGGGGCGTTAATATGTCAATAAGCATTCGCCCTGTATTCACCCAGTTTTGCTGACGGGATGTTTAAAAGTCTTCCCATTAATTATTTTTTCACCCCCCCCCCTTTCCCAACTGCTTTCCAAACTGCTTTGATGTGTTGTTTTAAAGCGGATATGTTGCAGACAGGCAACAGAGCAAACTTTAATCCAGTTTATTTGAGCAAACTTAAATTTCCCAGTTATGCTCTTGAATCCCCGTCCCCAGCAAAATATTGACAGTCTATAGGGGTCAACCTGGGAAGGTAGCCCATCTAGGAGAACTCTGGTCCTAAACCTCCACTGCCTTGGGGGGCATCTTTGGGAGGGGAAAAAAGGCTCAAGAGTAAACCCTACACAAATACAGAGCGGAGTCCCAAAGATGGCTGCCTGGCGCCTTGCATGCCTCCTTTCGGCAACTCCCGCAGCCAAACTGGTGCCTAACATATTGCTCTGCTTTCCTTTGGACCACATCAGCTAGGCTGGGGTGGGGCCTTCTCATCTGGGACAGCCCAGGACCTCCATACATACTGCCCTGACTTGTGCCCTGGGGAGGTCACTTTGGTGCTGCTAACATAGAGGTTTGACTTCACCCTGGAAGCTCACTCCGCTGTCTCTCGAGACAGACAGATGTCAACACTGCAGGCGTTCCACATAGGACACTCCTGGATCCTGAAAAACCTTTGGCACTGTGTCCCCTTTCCTGTTGCATTTGCACCAAAGGATTCCTGTTTGAAGAATTTCCTTTAACCATAGGCAGAGCCACTGCCCCTATCACTGAAGGACTGCGATCTCATCCTTGCATCCAAGTTGCTTCCCCGCATCGTGCTTCGCTGGGGATGTCTCTCCCTTTCCTCTCTTTCTTCATATTCTTTTCCTTCCCTCCCACGGACGTGCAATGTGGCAATTGGGGTTGGTGCTGCCGAGGATCCTTGTGGAGCAAAGTGATGGCCAGGCAAGGTTCTGTGTCCTTCCTAGGCAAATCCTTGCAGTGCCAGGAGAGCCGCCAGCAGGCAGCTCAGCAAGCCCCACGACATCACGCGAAAGGCAGAGCAAAAGCACACACATCGTTCCACCTCGAGCTGCGGGCCCCGCAAATCCGGCCGGTGTTCGGCTCCTGACGCAGGGCTGGTAGGCAGGCTCCGGGGAGGGTACAGTTCTCCTGTGCAATCCAGCCAGTCCTTAGCTATGGATCGAGGGTAGCCAGTCTGGGGCTTGAGGTTGTGTGGCTCAAACTTCCAGTACTCCCTGCCCTTAAAGGCATACAGTGTTCCTGCAACAAGACAAAAAGGGGCATCAGCAACAAATAAGCGGGATATTTAAGAGGACAGGACAAAGGGTCCCGCCAGACAGGGTTTCTGTTTTTTGTGGGTTGTATTCTGCAACATAGGGATACGGGTGGCACTGTGGGTTAAACCACAGAGCCTAGGGCTTGCCAATCAGAAGGCCAGAAGTTCGAATCCCCATGACGGGGTGAGCTCCCGTTGCTTGGTCCCTGCTCCTGCCAACCTAGCAGTTCGAAAGCACCTCAAAGTGCAAGTAGATAAATAGGTACCACTCCGGCGGGAAGGTAAATGGCGTTTCCGTGTGCTGCTCTGGTTTGCCAGAAGTGGCTTATTCATGCTGGCCACATGACCAGGAAGCTATACGCTGGCTCCCTCGGCCAATCAAGCAAGATGAGCGCCGCAACTCCAGAGTCAGCCACGACTGGACCTAATGGTCAGGGGTCCCTTTACCTTTTATTCTGCAACATGTCATTGACGCGATAATAATGCATTAGCAGCGGATTGATCATTCCACTTCCTTAGTTGTTCTGCGCTGCTTTGGCAATGCTATTGCATTATTATCGGAACGTGTTTCCACCATTTGGGAGCCACTAGACAGGACTGCAGGCAACTCCAGTCAAATGCAGAGAAAAATTAAGTACAAGCTAGTACTTTCCAAAAAACAATCCCAGAGTCTTTTCTGATGTGGATAATACAGACTGAAATTTGCAGGTGTCAAAAAAGGTTATTTATGTATGCCACTGCTGTGGCCTGTGTTTTGTTAGCCCAAAAATGGAAAACAGGCAAGGTCCCGACTAAAGAAGAATGGCAACTTAAGCTGATGGAATACGCGCAGAATACAGAAAAAGAGAACAAGAAGAACATACGTTTAGAGAAGATTGGAAAATGTTTATTGAATATATGGGAGGAATTTGTGGACACTTGGAAACATTGGGAATTAAGATAAATTCAACAGTGTAAATAAGCTTTGGTGGGTGTAATAATGGAATACTGAATGGTTTAAGGTAAAGGTAAAGGTACGTGCGCTCATCTCACTCTATAGGCCGGGGGCCAGCGCTGTCCGCAGACACTTCCGGGTCACGTGGCCAGCGTGACAAGCTGCATCTGGCGAGCCAGCGCAGCACACGGAAACGCCGTTTACCTTCCCGCCAGTAAGCGGTCCCTATTTATCTACTTGCACCCGGGTGCTTTCGAACTGCTAGGTTGGCAGGCGCTGGGACCGAACGACGGGAGCGCACCCCGCCGCGGGGATTTGAACCACCGACCATGTGATCGGCAAGTCCTAGGCGCTGAGGTTTTACCCACAGCGCCACCCGCGTCCCACTGAATAGTTTAGTTTACGTAAAATATGCAGGGATTTGTGATTATGCAGAATGAGCCATGGAAAGAGAAGAAGGGAAGTCATTTATGTTTTAAGGAAGTGTAAATGAGTATTCTAAATTGTAAAACAGAAAATTTAATAAAAATTACCATACAGTGGTGCCTCGCAAGATGAAATTAATCCGTTCCGCGAGTCTCTTCGTCTTGCAGTTTTTCCGTCTTGCGAAGCACGGCTATTAGCGGCTTAGCGGCTATTAACGGCTTAGCGGCTATTAACGGCTTAGCGGCTTTAAGAAAAAGGAAACAAACTCGCAAGATGTTTCGTCTTGCGAAGCAAGCCCATAGGGAAATTCGCCTTGTGGAACGACTCAAAAAACGGAAAACCCTTTCGTCTAGCGAGTTTTTCGTCTTGCGAGGCATTCGTCTTGCGGGACACCACTGTATTTTCCCGTGTATAAGACTCCCCCATGTATAAGACACCCCTTATTTTGGGAGACTCAAATTTAAGAAAAGGGGGGGGGAGATGGCACAGAGTTGTTGAGCTTCTTTTGGGGAGGATTGCCAAAAATCGCTTCCCTGCATACGTTGCAAAATCCGCCTCTCATCTGTCCCATCGCCAGCAAAAGCTGCCAATCACCAGCTGCAGCATCAGCCAAGCAACACCAGCCATTGACGCCGCAACCAATAACACGCACAATATCCGCTGACAGCCATGGCAGCAAGCAATCAAACACCCACACTATGTATAAGACGGCCTCCCCACTTTTTAGCATAATTCTAAAAGAAAAAAACCTAATCTTATACACGGAAAAGTACGGTATATATATAAATTAAGTGCAAGCTCACCGTCGTTCTCACTCAGCACAGCATCTACGGAGGCGGGGAAGTGTTCCCAGGGTTCTCTGTGGACGGGGAATTCTTCTTCCATGTGCGCTGTGGCTTCATCATAGCACCAGTGCAGATCTCCCTTGAAGAAATAGGTTTTCCTGTCAACAGGCCACGAGAAAGCACCATCGATGCCCCCCTGGGGCAGCCCAAAGTCTGTGACAGGGCGGGGGTAGCCCTCTTCCACACCGTTGTCCTTAAATACCCAGTACAGAGGTCCTTGAGCAGGGGAGAGAAAGAGAGGACATCAATAGCAAGGCAGTGTTGTGTAGTGGCTAGTGTGTTGACCTAGGGGACAAGAGCTCAAATCCCCACCTACCCATGAAGCTCATGGAGTGAGTTTGGGCCAGTCCATCTCTTTCAACCTAACCTACCTCACAGGGTTGTTGTGAGGATGGAGAGAGGAGAACCACATGCAGCACCTTGAGCTGCTTGACGAAAGCATGGGATGTAAAGGGAATACATAAATAAAAATTTTTTGAATGTCCCAGCAAACACAACAAGTTGTAGTGTCTCAAAAACTAACAATTTTGTTAAGGCAAATCCAGCTCTCATCAGTTGGAGTGTGAGATGGACCTAGGTTTTTTTAATGGTTTTCTATTAAATTTTCTGTTTTACAATTACAGATAAATATTTTACATCTTAAGATATCAATGACTTCCCTTCTCCTCTTTCCATTGATCATTTTACATATCTAATATCCCTGAATATTTTACAAAAACTATACCAATTGGTTTTCCATTATTGCATCCATCAAAACTTATTTATACTGTTGAATTATCTTAACAATGCCAGCGTTTTCAGCTGTACACAATTTTCCCCCACATATGCCATAAACCTTTTCCAATCTTCTCTAAATGCATGTTCTTCTTGGTCTCTTACTCTATATGTTAAGTTTGCAAGTTGTGCATATTCTGTCAACTTAACTTGCCAATCTTCTTTGGTTGGGACCTTGCTCATTTTCCATTTTGGGGATAACAAAACATGGGCCGCAGTTGTTGCATACATAAATAATCTTATCTGACACCTGGGAATTTCAGTCTGAGTTATCCCCAGCAGAAAGGACTCTGGGTTTTTTCCGGGAAAATACTTTTAAACATTTTTCTCAATTCATTATAAATCATTTCCCAATACTCTTTTACCCTTTTACACATCCACCACATATGAAGGAATGTTCCCTCCACCTCTCTACACTTCCAGCACTTATCTGATTCTGTCTTGTAAATCGTAGCAAGCCTACTCGGAGTCAAATACCATCTGTCAATCATGTTCAGGTAGTTCTCCTTCAAAGAATTACTTGCTCTAGGACAGGCATGTCCAACAGGCAGATCGCGATCTACCGGTAGATCGCGGGGTGTTCCTGGTAGATCCTGGTTGAGCTCCGGCCCCTCAGCAATTTCGTTACAGAAAAGCAGAAAAGGAAAAAAAACCAAATCTCCACAACTTTGACTTCCTAAAATCACTGCCAGTTTTTTTACGACAATGAGTAGATCACTGCCAGTTTTTAATAATAATAATAATAATAATAATAATAATAATAATAATAATAATAATAATAATAATTTATTATTTGTACCCCGCCCATCTGGCTGGGTTTCCCCAGCCACTCTGGGCGGCTTCCAACAAAGATTGGAAGATTTTTTTACATTGTGAGTAGATCGCAGTCTATTGGAAGATGGATGTCCCTACTCTAGGAGATGGACCTAGTTTGGACTTTCTTATGCAAGCCAGCCCTGTTGCCTCGCACACAGGAACACCCACCCCTTACCGCTGAAGAAGAGGATGCGATGATCTATGTGTCTCTCATAAACGGCGTCTACTTTGCGCAGCGTGGAAGGGAGGCCTCGCCAGAAGCCACTGATCAAGGCTGGGCGCAGAGAAGTGAGGTGACGACCTTGAGTCAGGCGCCAGAAGTACTGACCTGCCATATGGGGTGGGGGGGTGGGTAGGAAAAATACAACGTCACATCCCAGCTAGGAGAAGCAGCTTGATATCTCTTGGTCACTCTGCAACATGACAGAATGTTGCGAGCTGACCTACCACTATTCCAAGCACTCTGTCATAAACACACACCATTCTCACTGCTACAGATTGCGAGAGAGCAGGTATGATTTCCTCTGACATAACACACTGTCAGTTTGCATTTCTTAGTGCAGAAATTATTGATATGATGTGTAGAGATCTTTCCTATTCCAATTAATTCAAGAGGGTTCTGGAAGCTTGTGTGTGTGGCAGAAACAAGTAGAAGGTTCATGATGTTTGGGTTATTCCTTCTGAGAAGCTGAGTACCGCTGGCTTAAACTGGTTCTGTTATCTCTTCTGTCTGTCAGCGGTCTCAACCTGTGGGCCCCCAGATATTGTTGGACTACAACTCCCATCACCCCTGAGCTCTGGCCTTGCTAGCTAGGGGTGATGGGAGTTGTGGTCCAACAACATCTGGGGACCCACAGGTTGAGAAAGGCTGGTCTAAGTCATGCTGACTATAATAATAAGGCCAGAAGGAGAATGGGTTTCACTTTTCTCTTTCTACCTCTTTTCCTTTCTGGTGCGGTGTTCTGCATATAGTATGCTTAGTGTTAAGTTTTAGTCTTATTATAAGTTATTTACGTTTAAGTTAAGTCTGCTGCAACTGGACTTCTTATGGACAGTGCCAATCCTGAATGTATTGGATTTGTGACCATTATGTTCATTTGCCTTCAGTAGCAGTAAAGCTCTGCTGGATGAAATACAACTGCCTCTGGTCATGCAACGTGTTTAAGTTTTTACTCTGCTAACTATATGTTGGAGTTCTGCTCTGGATCATATTGAGTAGAATTACATGACATACAGTACACATCCTTACTGGGAGAAGAGTCTCTTGTTCCAACTCGATGATTCGATGTGCCCAGGGCAAGGAAAGGCACGACCCATCCATGCTTTTCATAAAGAGCAGGAGCATCAGAATGCACCTTGCATACATTGGTCCATTTAGCTTAGTTCCGCCTATCTCTGGGGTAGCCATAAAAGATGCCTTCCATATCATAGAATCGGAGAGCTGGAAGGGCCCATTTGCAAGGCCTGTTGTTGAGCTATTGGTCACACGCTCCCAGAAGTTGCAAAGGGCATGCCAAGTAAGACAGTGTTTCCCAACCGGTGTTCCGCGGCACACTAGTGTGCCGCCAGACGTTGCCTGGTGTGCCGCGGGAAAAATTGGCGGGGGGGAATAAAGGGGAAAAAAATTATTCCCCCACCGCCAGGCGTGGGGCTGGGGCGGGGGAAGCCCGAGCTTCCCCCTCCCCCAGAACGGGACCCAGAGCCATGCCGAAGCTGCGCGCAGCTTTGGCATCGCTCTGGGAGCTTGCGGGGCTGGGGGAGGAGGAAGCCCTCCGCCAGCCTCCAAACCATGTTGGGAGACAGCGGGATGGCGCGCTGCCCCTCTCCCGCTGTCCCCCGAGTTTGCGGGGCTGGCGATGGGAGGAGCAGGCTTCTCCCCCCGCCAGCCTTCCAGCCAAGTCGGGGGGCAGCGGCAAGGGCGCGCTGCGCCTCTCCCGCTGTCCCCCGAGTTTTGCAGGGCTGGCGATGGGGAGGAGCAGGCTTCTCCCCCCGCCAGCCTTCCAGCCAAGTCGGGGGGGCAGCGGCAAGGGCGCGCTGCGCCTCTCCCGCTGTCCCCCGAGTTTGCGGGGCTGGCGATGGGGAGGAGCAGGCTTCTCCCCCCGCCAGCCTTCCAGCCAAGTCGGGGGGCAGCGGCAAGGGCGCGCTGCGCCTCTCCCGCTGTCCCCCGAGTTTGCGGGGCTGGCGATGGGGAGGAGCAGGCTTCTCCCCCCGCCAGCCTTCCAGCCAAGTCGGGGGGCAGCGGCAAGGGCGCGCTGCGCCTCTCCCGCTGTCCCCCGAGTTTGCGGGGCTGGCGATGGGGAGGAGCAGGCTTCTCCCCCCGCCAGCCTTCCAGCCAAGTCGGGGGGCAGCGGCAAGGGCGCGCTGCGCCTCTCCCGCTGTCCCCCGAGTTTGCGGGGCTGGCGATGGGGAGGAGCAGGCTTCTCCCCCCGCCAGCCTTCCAGCCAAGTCGGGGGGCAGCGGCAAGGGCGCGCTGTGCCTCTCCCGCTGTCCCCCGAGTTTGCGGGGCTGGCAATGGGGAGGAGCAGGCTTCTCCCCCCGCCAGCCTTCCAGCCAAGTCGGGGGGCAGCGGCAAGGGCCGCGCTGTGCCTCTCCCGCTGTCCCCCGAGTTTGCGGGGCTGGCGATGGGGAGGAGCAGGCTTCTCCCCCGCCAGCCTTCCAGCCAAGTCGGGGGCAGCGGCAAGGGCGCGCTGCGTTTCTCCGCTGTCCCGGACGGCTTTCAAAAGCCTGCCTTCAAAAGCCGTCCGGGACAGCGGAGAAACGCACTGCCTTTCTCCGCTCTCCCGGGAAGGCAGGCAGGGGGGAGCAAAGGCTTTCGCCCCCGCCCGCCTTCAGAAGAGGTCAAGGACCTTCAAAAGCCATCCGGACAGCGGAGAAATGCGCTGCCTTTCTCCGCTCTCCCGGGAAGGCAGGCAGGGGGGAGCAAAGACTTTCGCCCCCGCCCACCTTCAGAAGAGGTCCAGGACCTCTTCTGAAGGCGGGCGGGGGGCGAAAATCTTTGTCCCCCCTGCCTGCCTTCCCAGGGGCTTTTAAATCGCCCAGGACAGCGGAGAAGTCCTCCGCTGTCCCGGGCGATTTTAAAATGCCGCCCGCCAGCATTTTAAGATTGCCCCGGACAGCGGAGAAGTCCTCCGCTGTCCCGGGGTTTTTTAAAATGCTGGGGGTGGGAAGAAAAGCCCTTGTCCCCCCCCCAGCCTTCAGAAGAGGTCGGGGGACAGACTGTCCCCGGACCTGGTCTGAAGGCGGTTTCCCTAGGAACGCATTAATTGATTTTCAATGCATTCCTATGGGAAACCGTGCATCGCAAGACGAAAAACTCGCAAGACGAAGAGACTTGCGGAACGAATTAATTTCGTCTTACGAGGCACCACTGTATCCGGAGAGGCGGCCTTCAGGCGAGTTTTAATTTTAATTTTCCTTCTCCCACTTAATGCCCCACGCTCGCCCGAGCAGCTTGCAGTCCTCGGTAACCACGGCGACCCGAGGGAGGGGAGGGATCAGGGAAGTCGAGGGCGGCGGCGAGCCGCGATGACGTCAGTGGGCCGCGCCGCCTCGCCCTGGCACGGTGTGAGAGCCCCGGCTAGTGGTGCGAGCTTCAGAATAAGTGGGATCCGCGTGCGCGAGACCGA